ACATTGGGGTGCAGGTGTCATCCTGAAGTAGGGTTCCTTCTGGATATATGCCCGGGAGTGGGATTCCTGGGTCATATGGTGAGTCTATTCCTAGTCTTTTCAGGAATCTCCACACTGTTTTCCATAGTGGCTGCACCAAACTGCATTCCCACCAGCAGCATAGGAGGGTTCCCTTTTCTCCACAGCCTCTCCAGCATTTGTCATTTGTGGACTTTTGAATGATGGCCATTCTGGCTGGTATGAGGTGATACCTCATCATAGTTTTGATTTGCATTTCTCTGATAATTAGTGATATTGAGCATTTTTCATGTGCCTATTGATCATTTGTATGTCTTCCTTGGAGAATTGCTTGTTTAGGTCTTCTGCCATTTTTGGATTGGGTTGTTTATTTTCTTCTTGTTGAGTCGTATGAGCTGCTTGTATATTCTGGAGATCAAGCCTTTGTTGGTTTCATTTGCAAAAATGTTCTCCCATTCTGTAGGTTATCTTTTTGTTTTACTTATGGTTTCCTTTGCTGTGCAGAAGCTTGTAAGTTTCACTAGGTCCCATTTGTTTATTCTTGCTTTTATTTCTATTGCTTGGGTAGACTGTCCTAGGAGATCATTTTTGAGATGTATGTCAGATAATGTTTTGCCTGTATTTTCCTCTAGGAGGTTTATTGTATCTTGTCTTATATTTAAGTCTTTGATCCATCTTGAGTTGATTTTTGTGTATAGTGTAAGGGAGTGTTCTAGCTTCATTGCTTTACATGCTGCTGTCCAGTTTTCCCAACACCATTTGCTGAAGAGACTGTCTTTATTCCATTGCAAATTCTTGCCTTCTTTGTCGAAGATTAGTTGACCAAAAGTTTGTGGGTTCACTTCTGGGCTCTCTGTTCTGTTCCATTGGTCCATATGTCTGTTTTTGTACCAATACCAGGCTGTCTTGATGACTGTAGCTCTAAAGTATTGTCTGATGTCTGGAAGAGTTATTCCTCCAGCCTCTTTCTTTTTCTTCAGTAATGCTTTGGCAATTCTAGGTCTTTTGTGGTTCCTATAAATTTTATTATGATTTGTTCTAGTTCTGTGAAATATGTCCTGGGTAATTGGATAGGGATTGCATTAAATCTGTAGATTGCCTTGGGCAGTGTGACCATTTCAACAATATTGATTCTTCCAATCCAGGAGCATAGGATATCTTTCCATTTTTTAAAATCTTCTTTAATTTCCTTCATCAATGGTTTATAGTTTTCTGTGTATAATTCTTTCACCTCCTTAGTTAGATTTATTCCTAGGTATTTTATAACTTTGGGTGCTATTTTAGAGGGGATTGTTTCTTTACTTTCTTTTTCTGTTGATTCATCGTTAGGGTAAAGAAGCGCAACTGATTTTTGAACGTTAATCTTGTAACCTGCTACCTTGCTGAATTCTTCCATCAGCTCTAGTACTTTCCGTGTGGACCTTTTAGGGTTTTCTACATATAGTAACATGTCTTTGGCATATAGTGACACTTTTACCTCTTCTTTTCCAATTTGAATCCCTTTTATTTCTCCCTCTTGTGTGATTGCTGTGGCTAGGACTTCCAAGACTGTGTTGAATAGGAGTGGTGATAGTGGGCAGCCTTGTCTTGTCCCCGATTTTAGTGGGCAGGTTTTGAGTTTTTTACCGATGAGTGCTGTGCTGGCTGTTAGAGAATCCTGTAGGATTTTGGTGTCCTGAAGACTGAGAAATTAGAAGATCGAAGCAAATACATTAAGAAAAATGAGTCATATGTGCTAAGTCCCACGTAAAAAAAAGTAAGAGAAAAAAGTAGGAAGCAAACACGCTGATATTGCGTTGCTCACTTTTGTGGCCTGGGGCATGGGTGGCAGCAGTCCTGGGTGGCCCTCTCCCGTGGGGAAGTGTCGCATGTAGCAGGGTCACATCCATCTCCCCTGCTTCTTACAGGGGCTGCTGAAGGCCCACCAAGCTCAGGAACCTGCATTCACCCTGCACCGAGGCAGACAGTGCAGGAGGTGGCATGTGGCGTTTCTGGGCTGAGCACAAAGCGCCCTGGCTGACTGGGAACTCTGGTCCCTTTGTGCCTGGGGAGGGGCATTGTGGGGAGACCCAGCGTCATTTCACCCTGACTCTGTGCCAGCACTGTCCTTGTCCCCAGGGGCACTGTAAGCAGGAAGCCAGGGCAGCGCCCTGCCCTAAGAAGCTTGGCAGTCCTGGAGGACACGAGCAAGAAGCAGGGAAATCAGGAGTTCCAGGGACAAAGGGAGGGAAGGTGACAGAATCCAAAATGGGGTGACACGGTGGGAAGGGGCGGTAACCATGGGCTGTTTCAGCCTGGGGTCCAGTGACTTCCCTCTGACATGCGTGCCAAGCCCAGAGAGATGGGTGGGAGCTGGCACTGCCAGGAACCTGCAGGGTCCTGACCACACCGTCCGTCATGGTCCCGGTGCCTTGTCTGGATCCAGTCTGGGAACTTTCTGAGGCAGAAGGGCTCTCTCAGGCCCTCATACTGGGGCCACGGCCAGCCCCTCACCCCTCGCCCAGCACCCCACTGGCCTGAGCAAGAGCTCGTGGGCATGCGACGGCCCAGCAGCACTCTGGCCCCTAAAAGAGGAGCGTGTTTACCCTGCAGAGACAGAAGCAGACTGAAAATTTTAAAGTAAGCAGGAGGCAGGAAGTGGGTTGAAGATGAAACAAAGAAAAAGTTGGGTGGAACGTGCTGTGGTAGGTAATTGACTCAGGGCCGCCTGCAACCAGCTACAGCATTGCCTCTGAGCTTCCCGGTGGCCAAAGCGAAGAGGGAAGCCTCCTTAGAACAATTCGCAGGAAAAGACAAAGGGCCTCTGGGTGAGAGGAGTGATTCCTGCCCTAAGACGTCAGACGTTTCTTGGAAAGTCTGCCCTCTCGGAGCTCATTCGCCGTTTCTGTGGCCAGACACCGTGCTTGTGACCTTTCTGAGCAGCGTTCGCACATTGATCAATTAATTTAAACCCACGTTTGTTAGGGTTTCGTACAGGAGTTCATTTATTCAGTGCTAATGTGCCATGAACCCCCTGGTGTCTCAGAAGAATGTACTTTATGGCTCTTTCCCTTCGAAAGAGAGACTGCAGCCCAGCAGTGCGCAGGACGGCACCCTTCTGAGTTCCCTTCCTTCTGGAAGGCTGGCCCCCCAACTTCCCGTGGCCGAGCTGCAGCTCCTGCTTCCTCACCGATGGTGACGGAACCCCAGACAAGATGGTGAGACCACCTGGCAGACTGAGCAGCTCAGCCAAGCCTTGGTTACACATTATCCCAAAGCCTTGGTGCTCCCTGGTGATTGGAGGGTCCCAGGCAGACAGGCTGAAAAGACGTTATGAACACCTGCGTGGAGACAGCGCCGCTGGTGGCACCATCTTTCATGTCCTGAGGGTCTCCTGACCCCGACGGCGTCTGTCCCCTGACAGGTCCCAGGTTCCTGCGGGCAGTGCCCCACTTTCCCGCCGGGGCACCTCCAGCATCTCTGCTATCTCTGATAGCAGCACCCACACTGCCCTCAGGGGCCCCCAAACCTCTGTGCCTATTTTTTTTAGATTACATCTGCACTGTCACTCAGTCCTGAAGAAATATGAACAGCCCCCCGCCTGCTGCTGTCCAATCTCATTCGTGTTATTAGAGATTTGCTTTCAGAGAACAAAGGGCTTACTGATGTACTTGGCGCTAATCTCCCAGCCATCACAGAGCTGTCATTTTTATCTTTGTCAGTGACAACTGGGCGTCAGAAATGATTGATCCACTCAGTTTGTTGCTGATTTTAATTTGTTTACCGTTGGGGCGAACGGTACTACAAAAACAGTTTGGAATTTCCTGTCACTTGAAAAAAATGTGATTATTCCCTCGGTGGGGGGATATTTCCATGGAGCCACAGCCCAGGCGTCCCTTGGTGGCCCTCGTCCCCCCAGGACCCCTGTCTGTGTGGCTCTGGAGTCGGTACACACGTGGGAGTCCCTGGTTTCATCTCATTTAAAACCACTTTTATATTAAACCCACAAACGGGAGGTGCCGGGAGCCGGGGAGAGGGCTGAGTGAAGTATTTGAGACGAGGGAACACACACGTTATTTATTATTTCAAGGCCGCAACAACACAAGGTGAACACGGGGCGGAGAGGGGAGCACTTTTTCAAACGTAACAGCGAGGAGCTTCTTTTAGTTTCTAGAATAAATAGTAATTAAATCACGTAAGCTGTGACAATGAAATTGCTTCAAAAACCAGTCCTCCCGCTATAATTGCCGAGACACCCACATTGTTAAACACTAGGTAACTTTATCCGTCGTTTTTATCAGCAGAATGTGGCACCGCCCGTGGGCGCCTCGTAATTCCCCGGGGCGTTGGGCAGCGGCGGCAGAGGACACGGAGAAAATCGCCCCAGCGCACGCCCAGTGACGGTGCCCCCTCCTGCGGGGCTGCGGGGGCACGAGCGGCCGGGCGATGGAGCCCTTCGGGGGGGCTGGTAACTCGGTGCCTAACTCACGTTTGGGAAGCAGAGCAGGGTCAGCAGTCCGGCCGCCTCACGGGGAAAGCGCTTGGCGGCACCGAGGTCGCTGGGCAGCCGCTGCGGGGAGGGGCGTACTCGCCACCGCGCGCCGCCCGGCCCCGGCGCCGGTAGAACCCAGAGTTAGTCATTACCAGGAGATGCTGCAGAAATGGAGGACAGCTGTGTCTCAGACCTCATGGCAGGGTATCCGCTGCTTCCCGCCCCCTTTTCTAAGTCTTCAGCTAGTTCCCTAAGGGGTAGAGAGAAAACCCAACACTGAAGGTCGAAATACCAGTTAAACCGCTGCGTCCTAGAAGCGCTAGAGACCGAGGACCCTGCCAGGAGCCTGCCCGGCCGCCCTGACCCTCTCCTCCCTCCTCTTGCAGTCACGTTCAGCAGCTGTCTGGGCACCCAGGGGACGCAGTATGAGACCAACAGTGTGGACTTCAAAGTCGGGGCCGACGGGACGGTCTTCGCCGCCCGGGAGCTG